TGTCCTGTACCAGACACGACCACAACACATGAACTCATGTGATGTATGTTAGCAGAAGAAACCCGAACACGTGAATTCATGTGAGCAAAGACCGCCAACACATGAATTCACATGAAGCAAGGGGAAATGTTCACATGAACAGCTGTGAGCACGGATTTATTCACATGAAAGACTGTGAAAGCGGAAACAAACACATGAAATCACATGACAAAAACAGCAACACACAGGATTTCATGTGAAAAAAACAACCAATTCACATGAAAAAATGAAGCCACCACATGAATTCACATGGCAGACCCACAAGCTCATGTGATATCATGTGCCAAACACCGCCTCAACACGTGAATTCTTGTGACAGGGACACAAGTTCATGTGATATCATGTGCAGACACGACAACAACACATGAAGTCATGTGATGTCCTGTGCCGGACACGACCACGCCACGTGAATTCATGTGATCATCTGTGCCAGACACGACCACAACATGTGAATTCATATGATGTCCTGTGCCAGACACGACCACAACACATGAATTCATGTGATGTCCTGTGCCAGACACGACCAGAACACGTGAATTCATGTGGTGTCCTGTGCCAGACACGAGCACATCACGTGATTCCAGGTGATGCCCAAGATATCTTCATGTGTGTTCACGCCAATGAGCCTGACTTCGAGTGATGTATTGTCCGGTAGCACTGGCTTTTACACGGTTTTTGCTGCCTGCCTGTAGCCTTCAGACTTAGTCTTCGGCTGTGAGCATGGCCCTACAGAAGAAGCCGTCAGCTTCAAAGGACTCAGCACACATCCACATCTGTTGGGCTGGGTGGGGTGGGTTTCGGAACCAGGACCAACAAAACTACTCCTAGTAACCAGGAGTAGTTTTGTTGGGTTAAGTTTAGGGCTTAAGGGGTTAAGGGTTTTAGGTTGAGTTAGGGGTTCAGGGTTTAGGGCGGGAGTTCCCTTGAAGGTTACCAGGCCCTGCAACCAGTGTTGAAGGTGTTCCCAGCAGCAAGGGTCTCAGGGTTCCGAGTGTTGAAGAGACCCTGAATCTTAAACCCCACTTCACGCTCTTGCCCCTGCAATATGTAGCTACCAGAACCTTATAATCTCCAGAAGCCCTAAACCCCCCAATTTCGAAACTTCAATCCCTAAAGCCCTAAACTATACCGAGGCCGAAGAGCCCGACCATCTTCTAGAGTACTATAGGACTTCTAGAGACCGCTATTAAAGAGCCCTAAGTAGACAGGTTCCAAAGGAGCTCTTACAGCACCCTGGGCGAATCAAATGCAAACTCGCTTGATTAGGCTGTCTTGCGGGATTTAAGGTGTGTCCCAACTCCTCCCGTTTCGGTCGTATCACAAATTCGTTTTTTGCCCAGAACTGAGCAGGAAGTCCTAAAGAAGCCGGCCGCTCAGAAGCTAGCGAACAAAGCAAAGAAGCAAGAGGCGGAGCAGGCGAAGAAGGAAAAGAAGCTTGTGGCCGCTGCCGAGAAAGAGCAGAAGGCGACGACCGACAAGAGTACGAAGAAGGGCGGTTCCGAGAAACAGCAGAAGGCGACGGACAAGAGTGCGAAGAAGAAGGCCGTGACCGAGAAAGAGCAGAAGGGCAAGAGTACGAAGACGGACGACGACGAGCAGGAGCAGTACGCCGAAGAGGGTGGAGAGGAAGAGGAGAAGGAGGCGGACCCCGAGGTCACTGTCAAGCCGTTGCCTGTTACTTTGAAGAACGTCCAAACTCACAGAGACTTGCTGGCTGCGAAAGGTTTCAGTGTTGACCAACTTGCCTCCGCCTTTAAACTGCTGCCAGCAGCAGAGCAGCAGCTTGTATGGAAAAAATTCGAGTCCTCACGCAAGGCCACCAACCAGGAGGCGGACTACAAGAACGACACAAGCGGCCCAGGCTCCCAGACCAAAAAGCACAGCTTGTTGCGAAGCTGGCTGGCAGACGGAGGGACGTGTGCCAAGCACTACCGTTCGGCAACCCTGTCGCTCAGAGCCACGCACACGTCCAAGCTCCGCATGCAGTGGAGCACTTGGAAGCAAATCAAAGCCAAGTTTGGCAAGAAGGAGGCCTTGGACCGGGTCAAGTCGGGCACCATCCGCTACCGAAAATCTCCGACTGACAACCGCTTCATGGAGTTTGCCGACGTCTCTGAAATGTACGACCATATCATCAGCAAGACCCTGGAGTCCAAGATCGACACCAAAGGAGGTCGGGTCAAGACCAAGGACCTCAGGGCCCTGGACGGCCTTGACGTGGAGGGCCTGCAGATGTCCGACTTCGACATGTCAGGAGTTGACGTGGAGAAGATGGACCTCGACCCCGACCTGAAGAGCCTCATCATCGACAAGCAGCAGGATGGCGGCAGCAGTTCTGAGGATGAGTCTCAGCAGGATTCCGATGCTACCACCTTGTCTTTGCCACCCAAGAAGACGAAGAGGAAAAGGAGCCCCAGCAAGAGCGGCAAGGCCGCATCGTCTAAGACTTCCAAGGAGGACAAGTGGGAGAAGGCTTCGGAGATTGGCTCCAAGGATGGCAAGCCGGAGTTCGAGAAAAAGCTTCTTTTCTTTAAGGGCGAGCTTCAAAAAGACATCGCTTACTTTGAGTCCGTGATGATCGATTTGAAGGGCAAGTCGGTGAACAAGGACGAGAAGAAGTCGCTGGAGGCGACGCTTGCAGATCTACAGAAAGCTTTGGACCTCGCCGCAGCTACGTCCAAAGAAGGGTGCAAGAAGGAGGATGTCAAGAAGGCCTTGCTGGCCTCTTTGTCAGCTCTCCGGAAGAGCAAGAAGGCCAAGCGAACGCAGATCGGCAAGAAGCAGAAGAGCAAGGACGAGTCAGACTGAGGAGCCAGGTCGCCGTTTTTCCTTGGTCATGTGCACCGGCCCCTCGTAGGCCATTTTGGCACTTCGACCCACGATCATTTTGCAGGCTAGAAGATCTAGCTACAAAGCCGGAAGGCTCTATCTGCCACAAGGTCATAGACACAGACCGCTGTGGTGGAGCAACTGTTTGATCCTCAAACCACACCGACCTCGCATGCAGCTTCCAGCAAAATGTCGCTGGGCAGTGCTGGGCGACCATTTTTGAGCCTTTTCAACCACCCTTAACCCTAAACCCAAGCCCAACCCTACTTACAACTAAATCACTTACTAATCCCGCAAGACCCTAAGGCCCTGCACCCACTTTCTCTTAGAGCAGCCAGCTTTGTAATACAGCATCGCTGCAGGTGCGACTGTGCCCGCAAATGGCACTAACAACCCGGCATAGAGCCCTCAATCCCAAAAGCCATAAACCCTAAACCTGAAACCCTAAACCCTAAAGCCTTGCATGCCTTGTAAGCTTGCCAAAGTCTTGGCCCTCGCTTAAGAGCCCACCCTTCCAAACCTTAAGCTGAGCCCAGCCCCTCAAGCCTCGGAGTTTGGACTTTGGGGCTAGTGCCAGTTTGGGACTACAACCCGACACAGAGCCCTCAACGCCAAAAGCCATAAACCCTAAACCCCTGATTGTCCGAGTGTGAGCGCCGAAACCCGTTATACCCGAAACCCCTAAGCCCTAAAGCCTTACACACCCTGTAAGCTTGCCAAAGTCTTCGCCTGAGAGCCCACCCTTCTAAACCCAATGCTCTAAACTCAGCCCCTCAAGTCCATGTTTGGAGTTGAGGGTTGGGGGTTGGGGCTGGTGCCACTTTAAGCATTGAGCATCGTGTAAGCTTTGTAGGTTCAGGGCTTTGCTTTTGCGGTTTAGGGCCTTGGCCACTACAGCCTGGACCTTTAAACCAAGAGCCCCGCTTTGAGGCTTACGGCCTAGGTTGAATTAAAGCCTCATCGTTTGTGACATGTTTCAGGAAAGACCTTACTTAGCTTTTAGGGTCCCGGGTGTCCGACTTTTCGGATTTAGGGTTTAGGGTCGTAGAGAGCCTTCAGTCGCGACAATCCAACCTCGCCCAGGCCACAACACTGAGTATGGTTTGAGGCTTCTAGTGTTAAACGCCCTATAATGCCCAAACCCTTTAGCTCTGAACCCGTGTGATGACGACTGGTGTTGCACTCACATCACTCGACCCACTCACTCAATCAATGAATCCATCACTTATTCGTCCGATGGCGATCTGATGTTGATCTCATGATGATTTGGTGACCCAGGTGCCTAGCAACCATTCTAGGGTTTTTGAACGCCGTGTCCGGACCCCTGAAAAATGGTGGTGCTGTGGCCCCAAAAATGCCTCAAAGCAAACCCCCTCTCCCGGGCCGGGAGAGGGGGGTTGCTTTTCGGGAGTTTTGCCCCGCATCAGCCCCGTAACCGTAACCCCCCCCTAAGCCCTCAATAACCCTTTTTGTGGGCATGTCAGTTTGGGGTTTAAGGGTTTAGGGTTAAGGGTTTAAAGTTTAGACTTGAGGTTTCAGTGTTTCGGGTGTAGGTTCAATTACTTGGGGGCCCAGGGGACTTAGTAAGTAGGTTATAAGTAGGGTTATAACTAGGGTATCTCCATTTAGGCTACTTATAACTCGACTTATATAACCTACTTACTAAGTCCCCTGGGCCGCCAAGTAGGGCCAGGCCCCAAGGCACAGTCTCTATGTGTGCCCCGAAAACCTTCCTACTGCAGGATCTTCACACGCACCAAACCCCAAACCTTAAACCCCAAACCCAATCCCTAAAAACCGTAAACCCTGGACTCCAATGTAAATTTGAAACCCAAAGCCCTGTATCCCGACAGCCCGAAAGCTGCCGAAAGCTACTCACTTCGAAAGGCCCCGACTCACAGGTTCCCGAGAGGGTTTCGAAACCATGCCAAATATTTGCAGCTGTTGGCTGTTGTCTTCCAGTTCACAATTGGTCCATACCGTCATGAGCACGTGTGTGTGTGTGCAATGGAGTCGCAAGTGGGACTATCGCACATGTATTCGCAGTACGTATCGCAAATATTTTCGTTTTCTTTACGGCATAAGCTGTGTGGGTGTGTGTGGTGTGACTCTGTGTGTTTGTGTCGCCATGCATGGGTAGAAAACGAAAAGCTGCTTTGGAAGAGGATGCTCATCCCAAAGGGAAGGGCAAAGCCAGAGTAGAGCCCCGTGTGGAGGAACAGCACAGCCCGTTGTTTTTGACTTTGGTGAAGAAGTTTGCTCTCGGCAAGATTTCAGCCCCGGAGGTACAGGAAATCGCCGATGCGGCGGTTAAATCAGGGTCGGATGCTCCTGATCTCACGAAGCTGCAGGTGCTGGGAGCCCATGGGAATTGGAACAATAGTATTCACAGGGACCTGATGAGGACTTTGACCCGTGATGGTACGAAAGCGCCAACACTCCGGGAAATTTGCACACCTTGTGTGGTGACAGATTCATCTGGAGAGAAAGCCGTCAAAGAGAAGAACATTCCAATCATGCTGCCGCATGAATGGGTCCAGTCTTTGGAAGAGAGACTTTGCTTATGATTATACCCTTTAATTAGTCATCCGGTTTTACACATATATTGAGTGGTCTGTTTTCGGACCAGCCCAGAAATCTGACCTTTCAAGTGTATGTGTTTGGGTAGTGATAGGGTGTCGTTGTTTGTTCCTGTTCGTGTTGATGACTATTTTAGCTAAGGGGTGGCCTTCTGGAAAGCTTGACAGCTTCCCCTGGAGACTTGAGAAAGTTCTGGTCACAACAACGCTGGGACAGCAAGCAGTTCCGACGACAAGCAGACTTTTTCAATTCGCTGGATTGGGAGCAAGATTTGCCGATCCCATGGGTTCTCCACGGGGATGCCGCCCCGTATACTGAGGTGGATTCGCTACAGGTTGTCAGTTTTCGCTGTATGATTACATCCAAGAAAGTTGCTTGCTCTGAGTTTTTGCTCGCTGTGATGCCGAAGCACGGTGCCGACCAGAATACCTGGACCAAGCTGTGGGATGAAATCGCTGATTCTTTTGTCAAGTTGGCTAAAGGCAAATCTGGCAAAACATCTTTGCGAAAGGGTATCATCATGAGCATCTCCGGCGACCTTGAATGGTTCAGTGCTGAGTTTGGTTGGCCAACAGCTTCATCCAACTTTCCATGCCCATATTGTGGTGCTGACAATTTGTTTGATGAGGCGAAATCGGTGGCACCGTTTACAGATATGAGGGCAACAGCCGCATGGCGAGGCATGCTTCGTGATCCTGATGAAACAGAGATGAAGCCACATGCTTTGTGGCGAGTGCCAGCGGTTTCGTTTTGGACAATGAAATTGGATCTGCTGCACATGGCAGACCTGGGAGCCTCTGGTCTTTGTTGAGCCTTAAGGCGAGAGTAAAGGGTATCAGTTTTGTCGTGTTGGTGATACTTTTACTAAAGGGTTTCAGGTTTAAGAGGGGTTTAGGGCTTGGGGTTTAGGCTTTAAGACTTAAGGTCTACAGGACGTCAGTTTTGTCGTCTTGGTACAACTTTTCTGAAAGGGCTTCAGGTTTAAAAGGGCTTAAGGCTTGGGGTTTAGGGTTTAAGACTTGGGGCCTACTACTTATTATTAATACTACTACTGCCTGTTTCTACTACTACTACTACTACTACTACTACTACTACTACTCCTACTCCTGCTGCTGCTACTACTACTACTACGACTACTACTACTACTACTACTGCTTCTTCTCTACCACCACCACCACCACCGCCACCACCACCACTACAACCACTACTACTGCACCACCGCCACCACTACCACTACCGCCACCAACACCACCACTACTCTGCTACTACTACTACTACTACTACTACTACTGCTACTACTAATAATACGACATGGTTCTTATTTGAACCTGAGGTAAGTAGCCACATTTACGGCAACCTCCTCAACGATATTATTGTGGAAGAACTCCCCGGGACATGGGAAGCCTCTCTCGTGGCGATGAACAGGCTGATAGCGAATATCTCTGAAGATTTGAATATCCCACGAGGGCACAGACTGCCCAAGCTCAACAAGACTGACATTGTCACTCCGAAAGGTTATCCCGTGCTCAAACACATCAAGGGTCGCAAAGTACGTCATTTCGCTGGGGTAGCCGTGGCAATGGCCAAACTTTACAGCAAAAGCAAAAAGGGCCAGCACAGGCTTGCACTATGCCAAGCCGCCGAAACGTTTTACAACATTTGCGATCGGCCAGAGTGGGTGTATGATGACCGAACACACAGACAGCTGGAGAGATGCATCGCAGCTTTGCTTTCGCACTACGGTTGGCTGGCCAAAAACGCCATGCAGCTTGGGGTCATGCAATATTCGATCGTTCAAAAGCATCACCTGTTGGCCCACTACAGTGACCAGTGCTGGTCCATGTCTCCACGCTGTTGTTGGGCTTACGGCCCGGAGTCGTTTATGGGTATAGTGAAAAGGATCGCCGTGGCATGCTGTCGAGGTACTCCCGCACACATGCAACCGAAGAAAATTTTGCAGAAGTTTTCGTTGTCCTTTGACCTGCTCTTAAAGGGCTGGCTGCAGTTGGATGCCGAGAAGGATGACGAGACCGAGTGAGACAAAAGTGCAGGGCCTGCAAGTAGTAAGCCTTTGACCCTAAGCCCGTTTAGGAAAACCTTAGCCTTAAAAGGCATGTCTGCATGTATGGGTCCCTGCATGCTTGTGCGATGGTATTTGTGTACATGTGTGCATAGTTGACTACATATGTGTGTATGTATGAACTCATGCATGCTGACACGCATGTAAGTATGTATGTGTGTATGCAGGCATGTATGCACACACATATGTGTATGCATGTGGTTATGTACTTATACACTTCTGTCAACCTATCTATGTTGTATGCATGAGTGCATGTGTGCAGCTATGTGTCGATGTACCTGTATGTGTCTATGTACCTGTGCCGCTGTAGATTTGCATCGTGGCACATTTCTATTTTGATGTTATATACCTATGTCCCGATGATCTATATTGTTGTGGCGAGGTCGATCTACAGACAATCTAGAGATAAGATATTTAAGGTCATGTGTTTCCTGTGTGATGCCCCGGGCGATTTTATGAATGGCTCCCGCTTGATTCCTCGATTGATTCTATGGACGGCTCCCGCTTGATTCCTCGATTGAATTGACGATTGACTCTTCGCTTGATTCTTCGATTGATTTCAACAACAAAACGGCAAGGCCTCCACGCTTGATTCCTCGATTGGTTCTATGGACTTTTCAATCGACGCTTGAAAAAAGCAACTGCGATTGAAATAAATCAATCTTGGATGGTTTGCAATGAAGTCACTGGGGATCTCCGTAGGAGTCTCCCGTTGTGGAGAACCTTGGTAATATCCGCTAGAAACGAACTGTGACCAGCAAGACGTGCATCGGGAGAAGCATGCCGGAACGATGTTGTAGCATGCCGGGCATACCCTCATTCTCCTTCCATCTTCGTCTCTGCGTAGGTCTTCGGGTCGCCAATTCTTGATGACAAACTTGATCCCTTTGTCCATGTAGTGATGCCGAACCGTGTTCTCCCTGTGGGACTCCAGGACAGTCGTAAGGTCTCGAATGATCTGCTCCTTGCTGGTGTCGTGGGGTCCAGGAGGCATTTCGCAAAGCAATTCCATGATCTTGCTCGGCGTTCGGTATCTCTCGAACTCAGGGAGCAACGGTGATGCATTGTAGTCCAACACCAGCTCTTTCTCCAATCGTTCATCGTAGATCTTTTCCACCAGAGCGAAAGAGTGTGTATCTTGAGGATCCGGGACGCAAAACCATACCTCCTTGACGAAATGGAACGGTATCGTCCGGCCAACGATCATGATGCCGCTGTCTGTGATACGTCCATCTTCTCGTGCAAGGTCCTGCGATGGGACATGGAGGACCGCCAGTGGCATGTGCTTGGCATCTCGTCCATGCACCCGCATCTTGGTCGTCGCGTTCCGGTGATCGAACGGTGCAAACACCCCCCAATAGCTGTGGAGTCTGCCGCCTTGGTTGCCTCGAAATTGGCGCCTATGGTCGAAGTCCCCGTCGGGGTCCTCCGAACCAGGCATGATGCCTTGCGTGACAATGGAATCCAAGTTGCGGCATGCTGTAGCGTGGAACGCTCCTCCAAGACGTTGCAAGAGGGTCATAGATGGAGATATTGCGAACCTGTTCTTGTCCAACTGAAGCAAATTGTTCTGGGGATCTGAGTGCGCAGAGTGACCACTTGTAGCCCGAACTGCCCATGGCTTCACCCAGCCGTTGCAAACGTTCAGGTACCTCTGGCTGTGCCGGCAACGATCATTGTTCTGGATCTCCGTGATCTGGTCAGGAACCGATACCAACATGTTCGAACCTGCGGATCCAAGAGTTTCCACGCCGGGGTCCTTCACTCTCACTCCCAGGAACTGCAACCGAATCTTGGCCTTGTGGCGTTTCGTGGCTGCGAGCATGTTCCCTTGGAACAATAGCTGAAGTCTTTCATTGTACACTCTCTTCCTCTGTTGCTCATCGGACCATGAGACCGCTTCGGTGATGCGTCTGCTTTCATGGGTCCATAGTTGCTCATGCCTCACCAAGTCTTCGATCAGCACCCACCCTCCTTCATCACATCGAATGACGCTGCTGAACGCTACCTGGCACCTGTTGTCAAGCCATTCCGAGCCTGGGCGCCTGGCGATTCTGTGACGTAGGTCAGATTGGATGCATGATAGCGCCCAATCCGCGTTTAGTCTGCGCTGACGGGTGATGTTGCGAAGGACAACTTCGTTCACGATGTCCCATCGATTGTTGATGAAGCTTGCACCCTTGGTTGGGATCAGGTCGAGAATCCCGCACCGGATTGGCCTTCCGCCGCCGATGCATTCATAGCCTGCATTGGTGTAGCCCTGAGTGGTATCGTCAAAAGCAAAGCTAGGACGGTCTCCTCGTTGAGGTAGGCGTCGGTCGCGATGGTCCGAAAGCTGCTCAATGAGGTCCACCACCCGCTGGCTATTCTCTGGTCCTGATTCCTGCAGTGGTACGCCACAAGCATCATGTAGGCCCCGACGGTTTTCCACATCCGTGCAGAGATTGTGCTTGTTCTCATAACGGATCAAGACCACATCACCCCGTACGGCTTCGCCTCCGCGTCGCGGTCGGGCTTTGGCCTTGGGTCGTCGGTCCGAGGATGCAACACTCACATGGTCTGTGGTGTCAACGTCCATTGGCTCAGCCTCTTGTGGAGGTACTCGACGTGGATATCGAAGAAGGCTTTCCTTGATGATCTGGATGCCTCGAAGTACCAGATCCCGGGTTGCAGAATTTTCCGTGCAATTGGACAGAGTATGTAGATCACTGCCACAAGCGATACAGAACGTGAGGCGGTCACTTCCGACCGACATTTCGCCTTGTGCGAGCACTCCCACATAGTCCTGAAGCTGTGCGACAAATCCTTCACGAATCGCCTGCCTGGGATCAGGGCCTTCTGCACCTTGTTCTTCTTCGGGTTGCGCATCCACATCTACATCCTGTGCAGGTATTGGAGGAGCAACGGAGATTCCTGGATCGTCCGTGACGTTGTCAGCGGCCTGTGTCTCGTCGGTTCTCGCAATCTCTACGGGGTAGATATCACCATCGACGATCACTGTGAAATCAATCACGAGGTCAGCGGACATGTTGTTGACGATCTCAGCGACTGCTTCATTCTTCTTGGGCGGTGTCCTTTTGCGTGGGGAGTCAACCGTGATCAGCTCGATAGCTTCGGCCGACGCGTAGCGGAAGAATGATCTTTCGATTCCCCTCGCGCACGCATTTGCTCCCTCAAGGCCACCCCAATTCGGAAAATGACTTGGGTGTCTCATTGCAATTGTAAGAAGCCCGAGCGCCAGCTCCACCGTGTCACCCAGGAGTTCCTCCTTGGGCAAGGCTGACCCTCTGTAGCATTCTTGGCGCTCTTCCGGAGTCAAAAGCATTCTCATGAAACCAGCATAAGCGCAGTTCCCGGCATCGTAGTAGCAGATGTAGCATGTCTTGCCTTCGGAATCGTATCCCCTGTCCCATGCCAACTGTTTGGCCTTTCCCCATGCCGCGTACTCGATGGCCTGACTGGCTGTGATTCGGAGACCACCGTAGTGAGAAACCGTCTTGCCAATGTCTTCGTAGACCACTTCCGCACAAGCTTTGAGGAACTCCTTGATGTCCATGCGAGGGTCCACAAATTGAAGCCTCAGGTCATAAAGGTGCTTTGCGCAAGCCAAGGTGTACTTCTGGGACGCGACCAAGTCATTGAAGGAGCCGATTTGATGCTGCATCTTCAAGGCTGAAGTATGCGCGCACCCAATGCAGTGTCCAGGATACCCGTTTCCGGTCGGCTTGAAGAAGGCCTGTGCGTAGCACTCAGCCAACTTCATTGCGTCACATCCAGAGCAATAGAACGTTCTCCCTTTGACATAACCGGTGTTCGGGGTCGCATAGGTGTCGATCCGGAACCAGTAGTGCCTGTTGTCGTAGTAGGCTTCGGGAACGGTCATGGCGATGTCAAAATCCTGCCAGGTGACTGTGGACGATTCAGCGACCGTGTCACCCTGGGCACCCGACCTGATCTGTTGCTGCTGTTCTCCCGTAAACCATGTCTGCGAAATCCTGGTGGACGTCTTGACTTCACTCTTGTCCTCCCAAATCTCGACAAGCGACGGGTGAGCGACTGAGTCGGCGCGGACAGTTTCGTCCCATGAGCGAACTTTCGATGCCTCAACAAAGCACGTGGATACCATCTTCTCGCAGAACAGCTGCTTCTCGTAGATAGCGAAGCCCAATTTGAACCTGACCCGATTGTCCGGTGCTGGCACCTTTTCGGCTGACAGTGTATGCACGCCTGACGACGCATGTTTCATCTGGCTGTACATTCTTGACCAAAACGAAGATCCATGAATCACCACGCATGCTCGGGCCCGCAACTCCAGTTCAATGTACATTCCCAGCGCGTGGAAACCGTTGAACAGAGAAGCTTTGTGCTGAAGGTAATTGCTAGCTGCTCCAACGAACCGTAAGTCGTGATTGATGTTGACAATTGGAGGGCGCGTGGTACGCTTCCCTGCCGCAATGATAGGGTCAACGTACGTGATCTTGAGCTGTCGCTGCAAGTCAGTGCGAATTGCTGCTCCGTCTCCAACCTCACTCATCGGAAAGGACATGTTCTCGATGAGGATCGCTTGGAGAGACAGATGGTAATGCAATGTGACGGTTGCAAGCTGCTCTTCAGTCAAGCCATCCAATGTCGCATTCACAGATTCCAACGATCCTTTTGTGACTTGGAAGTTGTAGTTGGCACCTGCGGTGATCGACGGGCTCACAATGTAGACCTCGCTCCATCCATGCATGCCGAGGTTCTCTCTCACCGTGTGCGTTGATCCCCTGGTCCTTGCAACCATGTCAAAGTCCTGGACGAGGATTGTGCACTGAGAGCGCATAGTCGCGGCATCGGGTTTGCCACCCATACCCAAACTATTGCGAAATCCGTTCAGCGTGTTCATGGTGTTGATCCTTGCTTCTTCCGGAATCTCATCGTTGTCGACAAGATCGCTGTCTGCCTCGATCATCACTGCC